GGGGGCTGGGGCTTGTGAGCACTGGGCCACCCTGGTGAAATGCCCATCCTGTCCCTGCTGAAAGCATGGAGCCTTTAAGCCCCAAGCATCGCTGGCGCATGGCTGCTCACAGCTCCGGAGCTATGCCAGGCAGTCCCGATACACTCATGCCTTTAGTGTGTACTCTCAGCCAGGAGGACAGGTGCCCTTCCAGCACAGCGAGGGGTCTGGACGCCTGCTGCTTTGCTGTGGGTTTCCTGCCTGACCCTGGGGCAGGCCCATTTCCTTTCTGTGTCTCCCATCAGCAAGGTGGGAGTGGAGCTGTCTGGGAGGATTATAATGAATTCAGAGGCATTTGCAGGTCCCTGTGGAGACCCCCTAGTGCAGGTGGCATTGGACATGCTCAGCTTGGACTTTCATGGCCAAAATCCTGGCTCCAGCACGGTGCGGGAGTGTCTTGACCTCCGTCCCTGCACGAGGTGTCTCTGACCTGGGACCCAGAGCCACCCACTTCCCGGTGCCTGCCTGCGCTTCCAGCTGGCATGTGCAGCAGCGACCCGCATCTCCTGCCTGAGACCAGGTAGGGACTCACCACTGCAGCCAGGACAGGCCCCCGAGCCGCACGATGCTCAGGCCTCTCATGCCCCCTCGTGCATTCTCCTTGAAACTGCAGCTCCTTGCAGTGCCCCGGGCCAGCTCCATCGGGGCGATGGTTTTACTGCCTGGATACGTGTTGTCCATCGTCCTGGTGAAGCGGGTGCGTTGCCAGGAGGTTCGGTGCCAGAGCCACCTGGGACCAAGACAGAGAGTGCAGCGGGCACGGCGACTGTCACAGGAAAGCAACAGGCACGAGCTTCCTGCACTGTTTGTCCGCGTCCTTCTGAACTGAGTGTCAGCGCCAGGGATCAGTGGGGCTTCAACGAGGCCAGGACTTCACCCCTCTGCTGCTGTGAAAGTGCACGAGCTTCACGTGTGCAAATGGATGGGCTCAGTTGGGTGGAAGCCTGAGCATTTACACTGACCTGACGCTGAAAAGAGCAGCACGTTAGCACTGCTCTAAGCGGGAAGATGCACTCCTCTGCTTTACAGACTGAAGCCGTGAAGCGACCCTGCAGCAACCGGCCGTTGCATGTAGAACGAACCTCCGAAGGTGCTTCTCTCAAGGGGTGCGGAGAAGGACAGGCATGCTGCGGTTGCTAATCCACCCGTCGGCCTGCAGAAGAATGCAAACTCGCTCCTGTGTCACCAAGGAGACAGCCGGGCGTCTCTGTACACAGTGCCCGTCCCGAACACCAGTCGACCTAAACCAGCTCTTGACCTCCTGCAAGAGGCTCCTGCATGAGCTGAGACCCTGCTGCCATCCCCCCGTGGCAGGCTGGGCGGTCTGGGGAGAAGAAGCAGGCTCGCTGCCCAAGCAGCAGACAGCTATTCCTCCCTGCCGCGCCCGAAGCCAGGCAGAGATGTGGAGGAGCCTCTCCGAGCGCTTTGCTGTGCTGGATGTGACGTACTTCGTGAGGCACAAAGGCGAGGTAAGGCCTGGCTGGCAGCAGCGCTCGTGGGCCTGAGCTGCTCTGGAAAATGGATGCAGTGCTGAGAGTTAGAGCAAAGATTTCTAGAGCCTTCCCCCATCCGTGGGCAATGCTGGATTCTCTCTAGGAGCTCCAAGACACGCACTGAAAGGACCGGCTGCCTTGGTTGTTCCAGTAAAGCGGCCATGGGTGCTCAGACCAGGGCTCTGGGACGCCGGCTGGGAGCAGTGGTCCGAGCCAGAGCAGGGGGGCCACGGACCACACAGGAGGGGTCCCTGGGGTGCATTTGCCCTGGCTGCAGATGGCACTTGGGCTACCCCCAGCAGGGAGTGAATCGCTGTTGGCCTCGGTGTGCTCACGAGTCTCCATGAGATGAGGGTAGGGGCTCTTCAGGCTCAAGGTCCCCTAGGCGGGGGGGAACTAAAGAAAGGGATGGAAGGGGAAGGTAACTCCCCATGTCTCATCAAGCCTGGAAGGATGGCTCTGGTTCAGTCACCCCCGACCTCAGGGTCAGACGTACCAGGGGGAGCCCCAGGCCACCACAAGGCCATCTCAAACCAGGTGGAAGTGGCAAACGGTCCTGGCCTGGTCCTGGACATGCTTGTGGTGCTTTCCAGATCTGGCCTGAGTGAGCCCATGTTCCCTCCGTCCAAGTGCTGTCCCGGAGGAGTCTGCTCAGGTGGCTGCAACCCCATTACCTCACAGCCACAAACTGGCTGGCCTGTTCCTGTCCTTGCTCCATTTCCTCCGACTCAGACCCGCTGGAGCCCACTTGCCCTGGGGCAGCCGTGCACAGCACCTAGGGTCCTTCTCGTCCCTTCCCAGGCCAGCTTCTCCCTTTGGTGAGCCACTCCAAGGAGCCCGCTGCTTGCTCTGTTTCCCCAGGTCAATGCTTGCGCTTTCTCTGCCGACTGCCAGCACCTCCTGACTGCCTCCGACGACAGCAGGCTCTTCCTCTGGAATGCTAAAACTGGAGCGCTGCTCTGCAAAGTCACCGGCCACGCAGGTACTGAGCACGCGCGTACGCAGCCTGGAGACAGTGGGTAGTGCCAGGGAGCCAGGGTTCTGCAGTGCTCAGGCTGCCTCTGGCCCTGACTCGCTGCCAGGTCCCAGCCCATGCGAAGACTGAAGGTGCGTGACGGCAGGGACAGTCCCTGAGCCTCCCTGCACAGACCCCACTCACAGGGAGACAGCAAGGATTAATGTTATCTCTGTGCTGTGAAGGCGCCAAGTACCTCCAGGTGGTTTCTAGTGTGTAAAAGACCCAATGTGTCCACTGAGCAAATACCCCCTTTACACGCCGGCTACAACGTTAGGATGCCCAGCACTGGGGTGGTGTCAGTTTGCATGAGGGTCCATGGACCAGCAGTAACCTAGCCCCTATATGTTACCCAAACCATCCATCCAACAAAGAAAGAAAGGGCTTTCCAGCTGGGCCTTCTCTTTGTGTTTTGCTCTCTGCTCTTGCCTTGCTTTGCTCTCCCGTTACCCCGTGGTATCTGGACTGCCAGCAACAGCCTGACCTGCCAGGGACGGAGATAACCTTCAGAATGAGAGGAATGGACTAGCCCAGTGGGGCTCCTCCACAGGCAGCGAGGATTTGCAAGGAGCTGCACAGTTGCACCTTGCCTGAATGAAGTGGAGTGGTTTGCAGCCACAGTCCCCTTCAACGCCAAATGGAGCCTACAGCGAGTCCAGGTCTAAGAGGCGACTGCTCATCCTTGTCACCTCCAAGTGCTGGACTTGTCATCCCCAACATCTTGCCTTGCAAAGAGGTCCAGTCTGCAAGCAGCTGTGTGGACTGCCTGGACCCAAACACAACCCCATGCATCTCACCCCCCTTCTTCCCTCCTCACAGGGCCAGTGAAAGACTGCAGGTTCTCTCCAGACTGCGCCCTCTTTGCCAGCGCCTCTCACGACTGCACGGTTCGAGTGTGGGACACAGTGACCGCTGAGTGCGTCCACGTGCTGGAAGGTGCGTGAATAAGAGATCTGGGGCTGCCAGTGTCAGGAGGGAGCTGGGGTGCCCACAGAGGCTGCAGCAAAGGGCAGGGTGCTGGGCTGATAGGGGAGCGAACCCCACACTGCTCAGAACCCCAGCGGCCTCTGGGAGAACAGCAGTGGTGCATGCAAGGCAGGATTGGGCCCTCTGCAGCCAAACTGGGTTCCCAAGAAGGACAACTGTGTTCTCCAGCCCAGCCATGGAGCCGGACAAACACCAGCCCAGCCAGGGGCAGCTCAGCTGAGTCCAGAGGCAGGGGGCAGCTGCAGCAGACAGGTAGGGAAATGCTCCCAGCCATCAGTGCAGGCATGGACAGGACAGAGGGGCCTGGAAAGCAAAGCCAAAAGGCTGCGGTACCAGAAGAAAAAGTCCAAGCTGCTCCAGCAGCCGAGAGGCTTCAGCTTCCCCCGGTGCTAATGTGGTTAATTACCATGACGTGAGCTCCTACAGAGCTGTCAACAAGCCCAGCTGCCACCCTGTGCTCAGAGCTCCCTTGCTCCATTCGTGTGACAGCATCTGGCTTGTTACACGGCCCACACAGTTCCCCCCTTGGTGTTCTCCAGGTCACTGCAAGAGCGTGGAGACCGTGCGCTTCAGCCCCGATGCCCGGCAGCTCCTGTCAGGAGGCTGGGACCACATGGCCATCCTGTGGGACACGCAGGTAGAGCGGGCTCCAGTGCGGCTGCTGTGCCCTGCCTGCTTCATGCCCGGAGGCCACGGAAAAGGCCTCCTTCGACATCCATTTCTCCTACCTGCACCCACAGAAGGAAACTACCTCCATTACCCCAATCCCCAATATTCCCCATTGTATAGGACTGGGCTGGACACGGGAGGGCAGGACTTTGGGGGGAGTGAAGTACCCGTCATGTCACTTGCTCAGAGGGCAAACCCTGAGCATCCTCTGCCCTGTTCAGAGGTGTTTCCCAGGCACGTGGACTACCACGCAAAACAGAGCACAGTGCAGATCAGCTCCCTGAGACACAGCGGGAGCTCGCAGGGCCAAGCCAGCCCACGGGAGGTACAGCTCACCCCTCGAGCGATGGCACAAAATGTTTTATAGGCGCCACTTGCCAGCTGCTGCTCCCCTCTCATCTCTGCAGTTAGGTCAGATGTTAAGGCTCTTCTCTGGGCACCGTGACGTCATCCAAAGCTGCGACTTTTCCCTGAACACGCAGTACCTGGTAATTAATTTCAGTTTCCTGTCATCTTCCTCTCCCTACTGGCATGAGTGGTACATTAGCGATTCACAGCATGAAAGCTTTCCAATAGAAGATTCTGCCCACTAGGTGCTTAGCTGCATGTATCACCAACCATCTGACAGCTGTAATTTCAGAGATTTCGCTATAAGCCCAGTTTCTGTTCTTGTCTGAGGCTTCTGCTGCATCCGGGTGGTGCAAATTTGGCAGGAATTGCTGTTTTTCATTTCTTACCAGGCAACTGGTTCCTGGGACTGTACAGTTAAAGTCTGGAGTTTGTGTACAGATGGAGATAACACTCTAGAAGGACATCGGGGCAACGTTAGCTGTGTTTGCTTCTCTGCATCAGGAATGCTGGTAAGAGCTGAGAGCCCTCTCTAGCTTGCTTTTTTGTTCTGAATGATTGCAAACACGAGCACACTGCAGAGAGGATGCTTTTAGAGCACATTCCCCCACCTGTGCAGAGCAGACAAAATCCAGTTAGAGCGTGCCTGCTCATCTCTGGGTTTGTCACCTCTTATGCCGCATCTCCAGCACCCCTTATTCTGCTCTTGTCTTTCAGGCATCAGGCTCGTGGGACAAGACCGTGCGGGTCTGGAACCCATGCAGCGGGGTGCTCGTTTTCCTCCTGGAGGGGCATTCATCCTGGGTGAAGAGCGTATCCTTCTCCAGGGATGGACTGCTGCTGGCCACTGCAGGCTATTCAGAAATGGTAACCCCAGCAGAGGGAGCAAGCAGAGTTCTGCTGCAATACTGCCTGTCCTGACTACTAAATATGGGCTCTGAGGACTAAGAGGCCCATCATACAGCACTCCTTAACGTGTGCACCCTGGCTGCTCAAACCCTGTGCCCCTGCAAGGCTAGATCCCTTTGTTACACAACAGAGCAGGGGCAGGCCACTGGCTCCTAGCCAGCTAGCAATGCAGTCCTCAGATGGGCAAAGGTGGGGTAATCTTATTGTCCCTCTCACAATGCCATGTCACAGGACTGCTTAAGAACTGGCATGCATTTTGGCACATGCTGAACCAACCCTCTCTCTAGTTAGCATATTTTAGGCTACAAAACCTCCACAAGCAGGGAAACCAGCTTGCACTGAAATGAATTTCTCTGCAAATTAGTCATTCTCTGTCTGACGGGTGGGGGTGTCTCATGAAATCCGGAGTTCCTCTGGCACACAATGTTAAGGGCACATTACTGCCCACTGTTTTACTTCCACAGCACCTTAAGCCTCTTCAAATACTTTAGAGTTGAAGGGAACCTCTCTAGCGGCAGGTGCAGCTCACTGCTCTGAAGAAGAAAGATCAATTGTTTTTGTAAAGCAAACTATTAATTGGCTCTGCATTTTACAGGTGAAAGTGTGGGACTGCAGAACAGGGAAGTGCATAGAAACTTTAGAGGTAACATTTACTTTAACCAAGCCAACTTTCTACCAACACTTGATGTCACTCAAACAAAAGCTAAACTTCATTTGTTATGACATATATCAACCCATCTTACTGCCCATGTTCCAAACTGGACCATGAGCTTTGTCTCCATAAGCTCCTGATGGTTGAGTTGGAATAGGTAGCTTTCTCTCCCCCCACCCCAACAGCATCATGCTGTGTACTAGCCAACAACTGCTGCTTTACTGCAAAGGCTACAACTAAAAGTGTGTGTGTGCAGCTTCCATGCACAAGGCACTCCACAAATGCACGATCAATAATGCACCCCCGGCCACCAGGAGGTGGTGGGGCAATAAGCCCAGCAATAGAATTTCATTGCCCAAGACATATTTCTATCTGCAGAAGGCAATGCTGTAAGCTCTAGACCACAGATCATTACAATGGCCCTCCAGATCCCCTAGAAATAGTGCTTTAAGGAACAGGAACATCTCTCTGAATCTGAACCGAGTCTTTATTGGCAGGTGATGTTGGATCAAGCCTCTAGCTGCATCTTCAGCCCAGATGGTGCTCTTCTAGTTTCAGGAGCTGCTGGCCATGATGAACATCAACTGCAGGAGGCGAAAAGGGAAACCTGGAGAACAGTGCAAGGGCTAAACCATCCTGCTTCAATAGGGAAAGGAAATGGTCAAGTGCCAAGTGAGAACTAGAAAGGGATGTTATCAGACGTAGCCAGTTCCTGAGAGCAAATGATCAGCCTGCCCATGGCAGGTTGGTACAAGTCCACCTAACAGTGACATGCTGCTGCCCAAGTGACCACAGCTCTAAACCCCAGGATAACCCCCTGGTGGCATTATGACATCCCATGGGTCCTTCTTGAGTATCTGGGTCCAATGTCTTCTCCTACATGGGGATACACAGGAGTAGAAGGGCACCGAGTAATAAAAGCACTGCTAAGGCTTACTAAAAGTTGAACACGTGCCTGAAACATGGACCAACTGGGACTGCACTGGATATCAAAACAACACGATGTGAAAGCAACCTGACAACTGCCTCTTAGCTCCAACTTAATGTTTAAAGAGGACCACTAGCTTCTCAGTAGATGAACTAATGCATCCAAAGTGGTAATTCAGTACAAAACACTACCAGTTATTCACCTGGGGAACTACATTTAGGGGTGAAAAGCTGAAGAGTGGCCTTTCACTGTCAGATTGCACCATAAAACTGTAATTGTCTTCCTGTAACTTCACAGTAACCGGATACAAGCCCAATCATTCTTCTCACACAAGGACCTGAAAGCAGCATGCAAAATCCCTCCAGCTAGCACCCAGAGTGAGGGACTGGCAGAGGGGGTGGGCAGTGTACACAACCAGGACAGAAAGGAGTCTGCAGATGGCAGAGAATACCTGATCTCAAAGTCTGGTTTTCAGATCATACCTATACTTTGTCTCCCCCCACCATGTCCACCCAGCTGTGTGCGCAATAATCCACATTTTGAATAATAAAAAATGTGTGATGGACAAAGAGGCTGTGGTGAATCCCATGAAAGGTGAGGCCCAGACAACTTATGTTACAAGGCCTCAGTACAGACCGCTCAAGTTTCATATTATCACATCTTCACAGGACTGAAGTTCAAGGTAACGATAAATTGTCAAGCCAAAAAAGCGAACTGAACCTTGTATAAAAAAGAAAAATAAAAAAAAAGAAAAAGAAAAAGAAAAAGAACAGCTTGCCAGAGGCTACAAAGACCTCATCAACCTGCATTATTCTCTCAGAGGGAGCCCGACCCTGTAAATTGAAGATTAAGGTTGCAGAAAGCCAGCCAGCCCAGCAACACTTCAAACACCTGCTGAAAGAGTCCTACTGATAGTCCAAGCACTACTGATAACGCTGCAGTCACTACTGATCATCTGTAAATGGCTCCAACTGGGCACCAGATGGCTTAAAGTGATAAATACAGCATTGTGTAGATAATGAGAATGTCAGTGCAGACATTTTTGGTGTCCTAGCAGTGGATCTAGAATCCCTTGTCAGAAAAAAGAACTCAGATGTACAAAAATCCCTGCTCAGAATAAGCTTCCGGCAAAGAACAGTCTTCAATTTCAGTGAAACCCACTTTGCAAGGTTTGTCTACTTTCCATGCACAGTGTGTCGATGTTGTTTGGACTGGCACCAGAAAAAACCTTAAGGTAAGTTTACTGATTCTAGAGGGTTCCCCACCCCTCTGATGATCTGTTTAGTACACAATCTTTATGCTGAAGTTCCGAAAAACAAAATCTGAACGTAAATGCTTTTGTCTCCAAAATAAAAGTGTAGCAATTTAAGATATCTGCAAAAACTTATTTGCTTAGAGTATAAGGCTGCACTTTAGAATAGCTTTCCACACTGTCTTTTATAAACTGAGCACTATAATGCAAATCCTGACAGCAAATTAATGTTAGCATCTTCAAAGATGCTTAGCATGGCTCCCATGGCTTCTACCTGGAGTTTCCTCCCATGCAAAGGTACCATAAACTGAGAAGCTCTTAATCTGACTAACAAAATTAAACACAAGCATCTATATCCAAGAGTTTCTCAACAGCAAGTGTTTAATATGGAGTAATGAATGCCAATATAATTAACAAATATTTAGCATACAGGGGGTTTATGCCTTAACAGCATATTTCCGGACTGGGTATAGTCGCTCTTTTCTCTGCTGTTTTTTGGTCTTCAAATGTTCTTCGTGCTTGTTTAGTCTGCGGCGCATGGCACGAGTCTTCTTGGGCCGCAGGTCAAGAGGCTTGTACTTTTTGCCCTGTTTGCAGAAATATACAAGTTAGCCTAAGAACTTTTGGAACAGCAGGGATACATGAGGTACTGTATAGGTAATCACTAGTGCTAGGCTTAAGATGGGCAGGATCACAAAACTCAACTGCTTATATGCACAAGAGACAGCAGAAGGGTAATCTTCAGCCAGCCCTGCAGTTTGACGACCAAGCTGTATCCTGACAACATTACTGCATCCATGCCCATTCATTTCTAGCTTCTCTGCTAGGAGTCACGATATGCACTTTAATGCATTAGCAAGCCGGTGTGTCCCACCTACCAATCACTATTGCTTTCGTACCAGTCAGGTTCGCAATGCAGAAAACTTGACTGTATGAATCCCAAGCCTGCCTGCACTTCTCAAAACGTTCACCTGAGCACCTGCTCCAAATAAGCCCATTCAACAGTGAAGAACAAGCCCCCAAATGATAAAGCACCTCCCAGCCTTAGAGCAGTCTGCTTTAGTGTCCCTACGAACCCTTAAGACAGGAAAATAAAGGCTAGCAAGCAGCACACACTTCAGAACTGAGTCTACAACTGTACCTGCTGGAAAGCCCACTCAACCAGTTAAGTGATATGCTACCCAGCAGAAGACTTCTTTAGCAAGAGCAGATTCACACTGCCTCTACCAAGTTCAGAGCAGTGCTGGGTGTTAGCCTTGCAATAAACAATACCTTGACAAGGGACCAGTATGCTGCAAGCTCAGCCTGAACAAAAACATCTGTGACAGACTTTCGTAGGGTTCAGTTCTTCCTACAACCGGCTGGGTTTCACCCAAGCAACCTCCATGTTGGAAAACAACAAGAAAGAAGAGGCACAGCATTGAGTACAAAATGGAACTTGCCTTGTAGAACTTCCTTAGGTTCTCCTTCTGAGTCTGGTTGATGACAGTCAGCACTCGGGCAATGGATTTACGGACAACCCGGCTGCATAGGGTGAAGACACACAGGTTTCAGGACACAGATCATAAAAGACTCAAAACAGACACATCTGTGGAGGGCTGTGGAAGAGCCATACATCCTGCAGCTCAAATGCACACCAGGCGGCTCTGCCACCCCAGCAGTGCTCCTGACTGTGCTGGAACTGTACCAGCAATTTCACAGTGATCTGCATCTTACTGGGCTGAAACCTCCCCTCTCCCCAGAGAAGCAGCAAACTCCCTCCCCTCCTCTTTCAAATCCACGCTGATTGCATCCAACCAAGCTCCTCTTCCAGCAAAGGGATGTAATGAGTGTCTCACGCCAGAAGACAGAGGGGTTGCAACATGACAGGAGTACACAAGGAAGTTCTCTTTCACCCAGTGTGGAATTACAGGTGGGACCAGAGGTGATGGAAGCTGAGAGTTTGGCCAGTTCAAGAGGTTGGACACATCCTTTAAGGAAAGGGGCATCCGTCACCACTGAGGCTGGGAGCGAGGGGCATGCCCTGAATCTAAACTCCCTTGACTCTGAGTCTGCAGAAGAGAAGCCTGAGGGGGGACTGAACAGCAGCCTTCAGCTCCCGGCGGCACGGTGGGTGCAGGGAGGATGGAGCTGGACTGGTCTCAGTGGGGGCAGATGACAGGACAAGGAACCATGGGCATCTGTACGCATGCACGCACCGCAACACTGGGCGCTTTTAAAAGCGCCCATCACTGCAGCACATCCATTTGCACACATGGCGAAACGAGTCCCAGCGCTAGGCTGGGACGATGTAGGCGTCTCCATCCCCGGAGGTGCCTAAGACCCAGCTCCACGATGCCTCGGCTGGGACGACGTAGACGAGGCCGGTGCCGTTTTGGGCAGGTGGCTGGACTAGACGCGACCTCCTGAGCGCCCTTCCCACCCTCCTCGCGTGGGGGTCAATAAGTAACAGCAGAGAGGTGGCGGCAGAGGCCCCAGCATCCGCCCCCTGCCACCCC